AGGAATGCCCTATCTACAAAGTAATCTTCTTGATGTTTAAGTCCCTTATCTAATAATATTGAAATGCTGTGTAGTAGTATTATTTTCATTTGCGAAAAATAGATGGCCATTGAATAAAAAAGCAATTATAATTTCTTTCAATAATCTTCAAATGAAATTGTTGATGACAAACAATCTTCAAGATGCATTGAAGTCTTAAAAAAAAATTAGTTCAAATTGTTCTTAATGGACTTTGTTTTTTTTTTTTTTTTTTTTCCGAATCAATGTTATACAAGGGGTAGGAGATTATGTCACTTAATTAAATTATTTAGGATTCAAATTATGATATTAGAAGTAAAATAATATATATTAAAAAATATTTATTTTATATATATTCATGATTTTCAATAAAAATTAACTAGTGGTGAATATTTTATAGTAATAACGATTAAAAAAATGCGGTCAAGGCTAAAACAAATCATATCTAATTAAATTTAAGGCTAAAAACCTATTTTGGTCCCTTATAATAATTGTTTGTTTCAATTTAGTCCCACTTTTATTTTTTGTCTTAATTTGATCCCTAATAAATTAATTGGTTGCAATGTTGGACTTCTGTCCAAATTATTTAAATGGAGTTAACTGTTGGTCACGTAAATGCCACGTAGATGCATAGGTGGATGCCACGTGGATGCCAAATCTCTTGAATACACCTGGAACCAGAACGGCCCGTTCTGAAATCAGAACGGGCCATTCTGAAATCAGAACGGGCCATTCTGAGTGCACTTTTGGTGTGTTAATTTTGCATTTGAAACGGGTCGTTTCAGATGCAAAATTAACACACCATAAGTACATCAGAACGGTTCGTTCTGAGACTAGAAACGATTCGTTCTGGTTTCAGAACGGCCTCTTCTGAATTCAGAACGGTCCGTTCCAGAACGCCAACTTGTTAAGTGGAGATAATAGAATATTCTATATTATTTTTATTGAAAAATATAATAATTTTGAAAAATATTTTTTTACGATAAAAATTTTAAAATTACTTATTTTTATAAAATACAATTGTCTTATAAATAGAGTGATAACTTTTCCTTTTTCTCTTTCTGTCTGAAGAAATATTTAAGTGTCACTTTATAATTTTGTAGAACTTATTTAAAATTAGAAGAATAAAATGATAAAAATTAATAGGATAAACATAATAAAATTATTAATTTGTTTTCTTTTAGTGTCCTCTAAATTTTTACACTCATTTAAAACAAAAATATTTACGACCTTACTTGAACAGGATCTGTTCTATAGGCTCGTACCTCTATATCCTTGAGTTCTAAGGAGACAGGAACCTAAAATAAAAATATTTTATATGTTATTTTGAATTAATTTAACGAAGTATCATATGATTTTTAATTTTTTAAAATTTTTTATAAATTTTTTATAAATTTGATCTATACATGAAAAACTTTTTAATTTAACAATTAAATTTTTAAAAATTTGCTATAGAACATTAATTATTAAGTAGAATAAATCTATTAAGACTTACTCTTGAAGTAAGTAAATTTTTTCTTCATTAACAATGAAGATAATTTTAGCATAAAATAAAAAACAATTAAACAATAAAATAAAATATATAAAAAATATTAATGTATTTATTATATTAGATATAACAAGATAATTAAAATAATTAATAATATATATTTTATAAAATTATTAATATTTTATATATAAAAAAAAGAATAAAAAAAATTTAGTGTGGGCAAGTATCCCCACTATGATTAACTTAGATCCGTCCCTGCATGTGGTTGTGTGGTGAAATGTTAGTCTGTATACTCTCTTCCTTTATTTCAGGTTATACATCCTCAAGAACAGGTTGTTGTTGTTGGGGTACATCGTTAATGACTTCAAGAAAAAATACCATGTCATTTCATCTTTTACTGTATGGTGTCAATTTGGTAGTAAGTGGTTCACTCTAGTTTGACTAACAATGAAATAAAATCTACTACTATTGTCTTTAGTGATACACTGCATTGTCCTTAATGATACACTGTGTAGTCCAACTATTTAGCAATTAAAGTTATCAATTTCCATTGACAATATTACCAAATCCAGTGTTTGAAATGCTTTGTACCTGGGTCTTTTTCCTTCCACGATTCACAACCGTGAACTATAATCATTGAACAATTCTGGAACCAGAACGGTCCGTTCTGAAACTAGAATGACCCATTCTGGTTGAACTCTTAGTGTGTTAATTTTGTACCTGGAACGGGACGTTCCGGATGCAAAATTAACACGCCAAGAGTGCACCCAGAACGCCCGTTCTGGTTTCAGAACGGGCCATTTTGGTTCCAAGTGTTTTCAAGAAATTTGGCATCCACATATCATCCATCTATGCATCTACGTGGTATCCATGTGACCAACAATTAACTTCGTTTAAATAATTTAGACAGAAATCTGATATTACAACCAATTAATTTATTAAGGACCAAATTGAGACAAAAAATAAAAATGGGACTAAATTGAAACAAACAATTATTATAAGGGACTAAAATAGATTTTTTAGCTTAAATTTAAATTTTCATATTAAAAAGCTTGTAATATAGACTAATTAATGGCCCACAGGTGTTTGTCCACGTGTCCAGCTCTAGTAGCCAAAAATGGTGATATCTACACACGTGTTCAATTTATAGCATGTCATGTTGATTCAAGTCATGGGCGTGTTCAATTTCTCTGTCTCTGACAAAATTGTGTCAACATCATAAGAAATGCCCAAAACTTATATTTCCCAAATTTATGCAACGTATACTATCTCTCTCTATCAGTTGGAAACGTCAATAATTCAATTTCAATGTGAAAAAATATGAACATAAATATTCGTCGAGGAATGTCAGATAAATGTTTCTCAATGTCAAGATTCAAGAAATGAGTTTAACAGACTCTAAAAGCATATATATGGTTAAAACAAATAATAGGTAATAGCAATCGATCTGAATCTGAAGGCAATCGTAATAGCTACGAGATAGGTATCGTGCGCCAACTTGACCAAGCATGGATATATGTATCCCCAAACTAAATGCAACAAGATTAGAAAACAAATTTACTCTTGTAAAATGAGGATTTGCACTTTAAAAATAATAATGTGTACTCATATTGTTAATTATTACTACACTTTAGCTATTTTTTAATTATGTTATTTGAGAAGAATATTCTTATTTATTGATAATTAATCTTTGTTGAAAAACTTAAAAAGATCAATTTTATAGAATTTTTCTTCCTTATTATATGTTTTGTATCTACAAAAGTTAAATTTTAGATTTTATTTAAAGAAATTAAATCTAATATCACTCAAAAACAATTATACTTTTAGCCCTTAAATATATTCACCTTGGTTTAGAATAGTTAAATCTCATGAAAAAAAAAATAGAGTACAAAAAAAAAATCATATATTTTGGGTCAAGTTTTTTTTTTTTTTTTTTTTTTTTTTTTTTTTTATCACACAGAGAGATGGTGCCTTTTAGCTTGGAGTGTTGGTGAGATGAGTTGTGATAAAATTATTTTTGTTTGTCTTCCATTTGAATTTTGATAGAATCATTTATTTAAATTCTCACTTAATTAAATGATATAAAGATATAAAGAGCATATCAAATTTTTATAAAAAATGATTATTAATAAAATTAATAGATATTTTTATATAATAATATGATTAAGAAAAAGGATATACAAAGCTAATCAAAATTAATTCAGTAGTTTAATGTTATATAATAAAATACTTTAATCTTAAATATAAAATAAGTTATATTAAGAGAAAAATTCTTATTTTATATGCGTGTATGATTTTTGATGAAAATGAGTTATTATTATTTTTTGCAATAAATACTTTATACTAATATTACAATTAAAAAAAACTAGTAGCATAATATAAGCATAAAAATAGAATAAAATTATATACATTATATTTATTCAAATAAATAATATAAATATAATATTATATTATACAAAATATAAGCTTTTTTTTAAACTATTAGTGTAAAAAAACACCTTTTTTTAATATTAATATATACACAAGTAATCAAATCGCATATACTAGCTAATATACTTTTTTTTGAGGATGTATACTGTTGGATTAAAACATCTTTAATGCACGTGAGTGATATCAATCGTAATGTTAATGACTTGGCGGATATATTAACTGCAAGAGGATTGAGATTTCAAAGTTCTTTCGAGGAGTTTGTAATTTCTCCTCGCTTTACTATATAAGCTATTTTATATGATTTAGTTGAAGTTGATTCATCTATTTTTATTTTTTGTGATATTTATTAATTTCTTTTATGTACTAAAAAAACACGTATAAAAACTTTTAGGTAAAAAAATCATATATATATATATATATATATATGAAGAGGGTTCAAACGACACTGCTATAACTTTTACTAAGTATTATATCACTCAATAACTTTATATTAAATGTGAATTTTGAAAATCCAACCGTTAGATTGAAAGTTCATATCTCTTAGATCATATATGTAAAATTTTGTTAAAATTAAATAACAACTTGAAAGTAATCAAAGTGTTCATATTTTAATATATTTTAAAATGTATATGTTACATCAATTTTGTTGTATGAGAATGAAGTATCAAATAATCTTAAATTAATATAAAATTTGATATATATGATCAAAAATATATGAACTTTCAATCTAACGGTTAAATTTTCAAAATTCGCATTTTAATATAAAGTTATTGAACGGTGTAACACTTAGTAAAAGTTACAGTGGTGTCGTTTGAACCCTCCTTATATATATATATAAAAGATAAAGATGGTATAATTTTTTTGTCAAATGAAATTCATACATATAAAATGAAGCCCTCTTAAAAACAATTTTTTTTTTCTGTTCATTTTTCAATTGTTAATAGTTTTTATTTTATTTTATTCATAATTATTAATATGTGAATCGCGTAATGATAGATACTCCGACTACTTAAAAAGAATCAAAATGTTTGTTTTTTTTGGTAGACGAAAATCAGTATGTTCTGGTATTGACATAATAGGGTTAGTTCAAATTTTAATTATTGATTTTGAAGTTATTTCAATTTGGTCCTTAAATTGGGCCTAGAGGCAGTGGTGTCCGTTGTGACGTGATCCGCATTGCCTCCAAAAGTCGAGTCATACTTTATCAATTTTACATTTTCTACGCCCCACTTACCCTCTGATGGGGAGAGGGAGGGAAATTAAAAGTAACATCAAGGAATAAGGAAAATAATTTGATATTAAGTAAGAAATAAATTTTTTTTTAATATTTTATATAGTTAAATTTTTATTTGAAATAATTTTTCGTTAGTCATTTTTTATTTGTTTTTCTTTCTCATTGTCAATTTTGTTTATTTTTTTCTTGAAAAATCTGCCATAATTAATAATATGTAAATCTATATATATATATATTAATAATTATTTTTTTGATCTCTATTTTTTAATAAATAATTATACTCCTGAATGTAAAAAAAATATTTTTTTCTAAATAATTATCCATAATTTTTAATATTTATCTTATATCAGATATACAGAATGCCTCGAACCTCCTTGTGAATAATAATGGGAGATCGTAGAATACCCTTTCTGCAACTTATGGCTTTCACGTGTACGACTTCTCACTTTCACAGGAAAAAAAAATACTAACAACATGGACAAATGTTTCAAGTTTTTGTTCACGTTAGGATACCTTTTTTTACAGAGTACAAATAAAATAAGTCAAGGTTATTTTTGTAAATGTGAATGAATATAGTATAATTTTGTACAAATGATTGCTTCAAAGAGGGTAATTGATTTTACCTTGAGACTTACACGTATTCCTTTCAAATTTTTTTTAAATCACCTTTACCAAATAAGCATACTTTTATTAAAACCACACAAATACATTCTCATCTCATAAAATTCATGATAAATCATGCTTCCCAAACAAAGCATTAGAAATATAGTTAGTCTAAATTCATTGAATTTGCATGATGATAAAGTAAAAATAATTAACCTATTCACAGAAAAACAATTTTATTTTATAAAAGTAAAGTACCAATTTATTGCAAAGTCAAAGAAAAATAAAATTAAAGATATATTAAAAAAATCATCTATAGAAAAATTACAAAAATGCAACAAGGATGGAATTTAAGTCCTCCTACCTCTAACCCCACCCTCTTTTCCTTCAACTATTAATCTAAGCCTATAGTGGTCAAGGATATATTTATTTTTAAGAAAAAAAGTGAAATAAAATAACTTTTAACTAGGTTATTTTATAGAAAAAGTAAAAGGAAAAATAAGTTAAATTTTCCTTTGTTGTTAAGTTCTGTAAAAATAAAAATAAAAAGTAAAAGAAAAAGGATATAAAT